CTGGTCACATTCAGGACATAGCGTTGTAAGGACTGTGTTTGTGCAAATGTTTGTGAAAAAACAGTGTGGCCAGCTCAAACGCTGACTGTTGTGTCAATCGAAACTGGACGTTCTAAATAAGCGTTCTAATCACACCGTTTTCAGCGTACGCTGCAGGGACCACTGTAGAATGATCACACCCGTGTGTTGGTACATGTCAAAGGGTTAAAGGTTCATATAATGTTTCATTAGGTTGTGGGAACAGTCTGCTGAGAACATTGCGGCTACTTAAAAACACGTTACCAAAACACAAAAACTGTCCAGTCATGTATAAGAATATTCCCAGAGCACATTTAGACTGTTCTTTAAAAGGTTCCCAGAATGTTTATTTAGGTTGTGGGAACAATGTGGGGATATGACAAGAGATAGGTTTCCAAAACACTAAAACTGTCCAGTTGTGCTGAGGTTCAGATAATGTTTGTATCAGGGTTTAAAAAAAACATGTTGACAAAACAGCCTTTGAGTTCTTTAAAAAGGTTCCCAGAACATTTAATTAGGCTGTGGGAAAAGTGTGGATACATTACAAGAGATAGGTTCCCAAAACACAAAATATGCTCAGTTGCGATGACATTCATACATTGTTTAAGTTAGGTGGCACAGGACATTCCCTTAATGTTGCAAGAATATTCTTGTGATATTCATGAATGTTGCACAGAACATTCCCACAATGTTGCAAAATGTTCAACAATTTCCAAATAAGTCAGTTTTTATGACGTTCATAGCACATTTGTTTTAGGTTTAACATAATATTCTATTGATTTTCACACAATGTACATTTGACCTCATCTTGGAGGTCCTCAGAACATTTAGAAAATATTATATTTAAGTTTCACCTAACATTACCACAACATTCTCAGCATGCACATGTAGTTCAATAAAGCAGATTGGAATACATCCCCATTATGTTTCTCTCCAGATTTAATGGTAATTCACGTTTGAGGACTGTATAGTAGGCCAACTACAAGGTGATATAGACACACGTCATTTTAATTTCATTCATAGGAAACTTGAACAGCATTTAGATAATAAAAACACAACCGTATCTTTTACACTTTATATGTTAAAAATCTGCACATGTGGAGTTTGAACCTGCAATGTTTGGTTCCCAAGCCAGGTCTTTTATCCTCTGTGCCACCAGGGAAGCTCTTTTATATCTTCTTTTTTTTCAGTATATAGCCATGGCAGTATGGTCAATCAGGAATTCCATGCTTTCTTTTTAGCCTTGTTAGGCATAACTAACCCAGGGATACACCGGTAACTGGGTTATTCATCATCACTTCACCCATCCTCTTTATATGCTGCATACTTCTGGGCTCATATTTACAAGGTATCCAAGACTATGAGTGTTGATCTTTTGCTTTTCAGATCATGAAAAATAAGACAGGGGAGGACCATGTCAAGCATCCCAAAGTAGGAATTATATTGGGTGCGTTTAAAAAAAAGTTGAACAGTCCATTTTTACATAATGTTTTATTTTTTACAGTTAGTCTAAATTCTGCATTTCTGACTGGATTTATAAATCTGGATGAAATAAAGACATCCTCTCTTTTAGTAGATTATATCTGAGCCTCAATTAAAAAGAAAAAACATGGTTAAAGAATATGAGATTGAACCTGCAATCTTCAGAGCTGCAACCAAATCATTAACCCTCTCCACCACATACAGTGGGGAAAAAAAGTATTTAGTCAGCCACCAATTGTGCAAGTTCTCCCACTTAAAAAGATGTGAGAGGCCTGTAATTTTCATCATAGGTACACGTCAACTATGACAGACAAATTGAGGAGAAAAAATCCAGAAAATCACATTGTAGGATTTTTAATGAATTTATTTGCAAATTATGGTGGAAAATAAGTATTTGGTCACCTACAAACAAGCAAGATTTCTGGCTCTCACAGACCTGTAACTTCTTCTTTAAGAGGCTCCTCTGTCCTCCACTCGTTACCTGTATTAATGGCACCTGTTTGAACTTGTTATCAGTATAAAAGACACCTGTCCACAACCTCAAACAGTCACACTCCAAACTCCACTATGGCCAGGACCAAAGAGCTGTCAAAGGACACCAGAAACAAAATTGTAGACCTGCACCAGGCTGGGAAGACTGAATCTGCAATAGGTAAGCAGCTTGGTTTGAAGAAATCAACTGTGGGAGCAATTATTAGGAAATGGAAGACATACAAGACCACTGATAATCTCCCTCGATCTGGCAAGATCTCACCCCGTGGGGTCAAAATGATCACAAGAACGGTGAGCAAAAATCCCAGAACCACACGGGGGGACCTAGTGAATGACCTGCAGAGAGCTGGGACCAAAGTAACAAAGCCTACCATCAGTAACACACTACGCCACCAGGGACTCAAATCCTGCAGTGCCAGATGTGTCCCCCTGCTTAAGCCAGTACATGTCCAGGCCCGTCTGAAGTTTGCTAGAGTGCATTTGGATGATCCAGAAGAGGATTGGGAGAATGTCATATGGTCAGATGAAACCAAAATATAACTTTTTGGTAAAAACTCAACTCGTCGTGTTTGGAGGACAAAGAATGCTGAGTTGCATCCAAAGAACACCATACCTACTGTGAAGCATGGGGGTGGAAACATCATCCTTTGGGGCTGTTTTTCTGCAAAGGGACCAGGAGGACTGATCCATGTAAAGGAAAGAATGAATGGGGCCATGTATCATGAGATTTTGAGTGAAAACCTCCTTCCATCAGCAAGGGCATTGAAGATGAAACGTGGCTGGGTCTTTCAGCATGACAATGATCCCAAACACACCGCCCGGGCAATGAAGGAGTGACTTCGTAAGAAGCATTTCAAGGTCCTGGAGTGGCCTAGCCAGTCTCCAGATCTCAACCCCATAGAAAATCTTTGGAGGGAGTTGAAAGTCTGTGTTGCCCAGCGACAGCCCCAAAACATCACTGCTCTAGAGGAGATCTGCATGGAGGAATGGGCCAAAATACCAGCAACAGTGTGTGAAAACCTTGTGAAGACTTACAGAAAACGTTTGACCTGTGTCATTGCCAACAAAGGGTATATAACAAAGTATTGAGAAACTTTTGTTATTGACCAAATACTTATTTTCCACCATAATTTGCAAATATATTCATTAAAAATCCTACAACGTGATTTTCTTAATTTTTTTTTCTCATTTTGTCTGTCATAGTTGACGTGTACCTATGATGAAAATTACAGGCCTTTCTCATCTTTTTAAGTGGGAGAACTTGCACAATTGGTGGCTGACTAAATACTTTTTTTTCCCCACTGTAGCCTTATGTTTTTTTTTTCAGTCTAATATGGTCAATCAGGATACAAAACATAAAATACAGTGTTACAAGTATACAGCATATGAAGAGGATGGGAACATTTTAATAACTCTGAAATTGTCTTCTGATTGACCATATTAGACTGACCCCCCTCTCTCTCCCCATTTCAAAGCTAACCCCTGGTGGCGCAGCTAGAATATTATGTTAAACCTAAAACAAATATGCTATGAATATCATAACAAATGACTAATTTGGTTATTGTGGAACATTGTGCAACATTGTGGGAATGTTCCATGCAACCTATGTAAATATCACAAGAATATCCTTGCAATATCCCAGACAACTCCCATAACTTAATTAAAATGTTCTGGAAACCTTTAAAGACCAGGTGTTCTGTCAACATTATAGCGATGTCCTGAATAACCCAATTTAAGATTTTGTATGAATGTCATCACAACTGAGCATATTTTGTGTTTTGGGAATCTCTCTCTTGTAATGTACCCACATTGTTCCCACAACCTAATTAAATGTTCTGGGAACATTCTACCAACATCAAAGCAATGTTTTGTGCACCCTGATACAAACATTATCTGAATGTCAGCACAACTGGACAGTTTTAGTGTTTTAGGAACCTATCTCTTGTCATATACCCACAATGTTCCCACAACCTTAAGAAACATTCTGGGAATCTTTGAAGAACAGAATAAATGTGTTCTGGGAACATTCTTGTAACATTAGGTGAATGTTTTTTGCACCCTAAAATAAACATTTTTGAATTATCCACACAACTCTAAAGTTTTAGTGTTTTGGAACATATTTTGTGATGTCCCACAATGTTCCCACCAGGTTGTTCCCACATCCTAATGAAACAATCTGTGAACCTTTAAAGAACAGGTGAAATGTGTTCTAGGAACCTTTCTTGCAACATCAGGCGAATGTTTTATACAAACATTCTATAATCATCAGCACGGCTGGACAGCTTTTGTGTTATGAGAACATTTACCACAACCTAACGAATGTTCTAGGAACTTTCACAGAACCAATTTTGGTTTGCTGGGATGGCTGCTTTTGGGGGTTAACACATTTCATGCCAACGGAACATTGTCTGGATCTTAATTCTCCATGCCAACAGAACATTGTCTGAATCTTAATTGTCTATTCACAAAGCTTACAGGTGTGATTATTCTTTGGAGGGATTCAAGGTCATGAAGGCATGGATTACATAACACAATGCCGCTGCTTTGGGCCAGCTGCCAAATTAATGGTAGAAAAACCCGGCCAGCCATAGTAGTCAACTCTCTCTGACCCAGGACCCACATAACCCCATGTTGAGTTAATTTAGATTAGTAGATGGTGGACTGGGCCATCTGCAGCAAAGCAGTGGAGGAGGACCTTTAAAAAGTCTACAATGTATTGGCGCTAATGTGGTTTTCTGTTTTCTTAGATTTATTCTCACCATGTAACAGAGATATTTTACTGCATGCCAAAATCTCTCTATCTAGTATAGGAACTGACCTACATTCTGAGGAGACACATTTGATCAAAGCTCAGATATGTGAGCCCTTCTGATGAAGTCATGCAGAACTGCCAACTCCCTGTCAGAGATCTATTTAGGACCACATCCCTGCCTATCTTGATGTGTATTATCAAGAATCTCCTTCATAATAAGCTGTTTTGGCTTGTACGCATAGTAGTCTAGTCATACCCTGATCATCTCAGCGACGTAGCTCTCTGGTCCCGTGTACTCTGTGGAGTCCTTCACCTTCACCAGCACTATGAAAAACAAGTAGTGCCACATGTTGTGCTCCACCTTGATGTGCTCTTCAAATGTCACCGTCTTGTTGTCAAACTTGTCCCTTTCCAGGCCTGCACACGAGGGGACATACAAAAACAAATAGTCAAAAACACATGCTGGAAAACAAATGCATGGCAGTTACTTCATCTGTAAACAAACAAATGCATGTGTGGCAATAATGAGCCATTCATTATCAGTCTGGTGATTGTCATGACCTTAGTTGGGATGACTGACTGCACAGCTATAGCATAGGGAAGTTCAGTCATTGGACAGGAGAATATAATACACTTCAGAGGGAGAATAGAATAGGCCAAGTGTCTTAATGCTCAACAGGTTCTCAATGTCTTACACAAATTTGTATTTTACATGCCCCTTTATCCTACTTTATCCAACGGGGCCGGTCATACGTAAAATGCATATAAATGTAAAGAAATGGATAGGCTACTGTAACTAAGGCTACAGTAACTAAGGCTACAGTAAAATTATTTTTTAATCTTCAACATAGGAATGCTACCAAAAAGAACTTAATGAAACTGGTTACAATTGACGGAGTCACCCATAATTCACCAAATGACATTTTGAAGGAAGAAACAAAGTACTTTAAGCATATGTTTTCTTTTCAGTCGCCTCCATCTCCTCTAACTGAAGCTAATTGTAGAGATTTTTTTTCTATTGATAATGTCAAATTAACAGCCACACAGAAAGACTCATGTGAAGGTGAAATTACAGAGGAGGAACTTCTGGATGCAATTAAAGACTTTAAGTCCGGGAAAACTCCAGGGTTGGATGGCATACCAGTCGAGGTATACCAAACCTTTTTTGATATACTAAGAGGACCGTTATTAGCATGTTTTAACCACTCCTATGTAAATGGTAGATTATCTGACACTCAAGAAGAAGATCTCATTATTACTGAAACAGGATACAAGTGGAAAATATAAAGATCCAGTCCATTTACAAAATTGGAGGCCCCTTACACTTCAGTGTTGTGATGCAAAAATCCTAGCAAAATGTATAGTGCATAGAATTAAAAAGGTATTGTCGGATATTATTCATTCTAATCAGACAGGTTTTTTACATGGAAGATACATTGGAGATAATATAAGGCAAGTATTGGAAACAATAGAACACTATGGAAAATATGGGAAACCAGGCCTGCTATTCATAGCAGACTTCGAAAAGGCATTTGATAAAGTTCGACTGGGGTTTATATATAAATGCCTGGAGCATTTCAATTTTGGAGAATCTCTTATAAAATGGGTCAAAATCATGAATAGTAACCCTAGGTGTAAAATAGTAAATAATGGCTATTTCTCAGAAAGTTTTAAACTGTCAAGAGGAGTGAAACAAGGTTGTCCACTATCGGCATATCTATTTATTGTGGCCATCGAGATGTTAGCTATTAAAATCAGATCCAATAATAATATCAGAGGATTAGAAATACAGGGCTTAAAAACAAAGGTGTCATTGTACGCAGATGATTCATGTTTTCTTTTAGATCCACAACTAGAATCCCTCCACAGCCTCATTGAGGATCTAGATACATTTTCTAACCTCTCTGGATTAAAACCAAATTATGACAAATGTACTATATTACGTATTGGATCACAAAAAAATACAATTTTTACATTACCATGTAGTTTACCAATAAAATGGTCTGATGGTGATGTGGATATACTCGGAATACATATCCCAAAGGAAATAAATGATCTCACTTCAATACATTTTAATAGAAAGTTAGCAAAAATAGATAAGATCTTACTACCATGGAAAGGAAAATACCTGTCAATTTGTGGAAAAATCACCCTGATTAACTCTTTAGTATTATCCCAGTTTACCTATTTGCTTATGGTCTTGCCTATGCCTAGCAAACAGTTTTTTAAATTATATGAGAAAAAAATATTCAATTTTATTTGGAACGGCAAGCCAGACAAAATTAAAAGAGCATATTTATATAATGAATATGAATTCGGAGGACAGAAATTATTAAATATTAAAGCATTAGACCTATCACTAAAATCTTCAGTCATCCAAAAGTTATACTTAAATCCGAACTGGTTCTCAAGTATTAGTAAGATTGTCTCACCCAATGTTCAAGAAAGGCCTTTTTCCCTTTATTCAGATTACAACCTCTCACTTTCAGTTATTTGAAAAGGAAATAATCTCCCAGATGTCACTATTTCTAAAACAAGCCATAGAAAGTTGGTTGCAATTTCAATTTAATCCTCCAGAAACGATAGAACAAATAATGCAACAAATATTGTGGTTAAATTCAAATATACTAATTGACAAAAAACCTTTATTTTTTGACAGAATGTTTAAAAAAGGTATAATCTTCGTAAATGATATCATCGGTAGGACTGGTGGAGTTATGTCGCACATGCAGCTAACAAAAACATATGGAAATGTCTGCTCTACCCAAAATTACAACCAAATAATTGCAGCCTTACCGCAAAAGTGGAAGAGGAAAGTGGAAGGGGGAGAAAGTAAGGAACTTGTCTGTCGGCCTTGCATTAAAGAACATAATTGGTTAAGGAAAACTGTGATAAATAAAAAAGTATATCAGTTTCACTTAAGGACCAAAGGATTGACAGCCGTCCCATATAGATTGCAAAATAGTTGGGAAGAGATCTTTGACGTACCGATCCCATGGCATAGTGTTTATGAACTGACACGCAAAACGACACCGGATTCAAAAATTTGAATCTTTCAATTTAAATTATTATATACAATTCTTGCTACCAATAGAATGTTATTTATATGGGGGATACAATCTTCCCAGCTCTGCATATTTTGCTGTGAAGAGACAGAATCATTAGATCATTTGTTTTGGTTCTGTCCATTTGTAGCTTGTTTTTGGACACAGGTCCAGGAATGGCTAAAGGATTGCAATATTTACCTGGAACTAACCTTGCAGATAGCATTACTGGGTGATCTGAAAAGTCATAGTCAATCAATCAATAATATAATAATACTTTTAGCAAAAATGTTTATTGTTAATTCACAATCTGTAGAAGCAATGAGAATAGAAAGGTTCAGAACTTTTGTAAAACATCACAGTACGGTTGAAATATATATGGCAAATAGAAATCCTATATGGATGGTGTTAAGAGATAGATGGGAGGTATTGAATAGAGTTGAAGGATGGGACTAATAACAAATAATAACAAAGATAGCTAATCATGTAAGCATACTGTGTCCATAATAAGTATATAGGTTGTATGTTGGGAGCTTTTGGGAAAGAGCACAGTTAGAAAGATATGGCATATAGAAGCAAACCGGATGGACATCATGAAAATGATCGGAGAGGTTGAGAGTAGAAGAAGTTCAGGAGCAAAAAATAAATAATATATATATATATATATATATATATATATATATATATATATATAATAGAATTATTGTAAAATTCACTCTGTCCATAAGGTGTAGATAGTAAGTATAGACCGGAAGTAGAGGCCTGGGCATTGTTGTTCACTAATTTACTCCAAGTAGGGAAAGGATGGTGGGGTTGAAAAGTAATAAAGGGGAATATATATATAAAAAACATGGGGGATTGGAAGTGATGCAGACAATTACATTGATAGAAGATACAATCTATCTGCAATATTAAGCTGATCCATTCCCCCCAACCCCCCCCCCAAAAAAAATAAAAATAAAAAATAAATAAAACTAAGGCTACAGTAACTAATAGCTTGTGTATGCCGATGTGATACAGTTCATTGCCATTGCAGTGCACTTTGGGAGGAGTGTTTCTTGGCTGAGTGAGTGTTGCACACTAACATGGTCAAGAACCGCATGGTAACAGGAGGAAGTTACTCAGCATCGCATCAGCCATGACTAACCATTCTGGTTCTGGGAAGAGGAGGCGTTGTGATGTTTACGCTGCTGAGCTGAGCAAAACAGCCCCCATTCTACCACGGGCCAGCTGTGAGGCATGCAACAGTATAAACTGGGTGGTTCGAGCCCTGAATGCTGATTGGCTGACAGCCGTGGTATACCACGGTTATGACAAAACATTTATTTTTACTGCTCTAATTACGTTGGTAACCAGATTATAATAGCAATAAAGCACCTCAGGGGTTTGTGCTATATGGGCAATATACCACGGCTAAGGGCTGTATACAGGCACGCGTTGTGTCGTGCATAAGAACAGCCCTTAGCCATGGTATATTGGCCATATACCTCACCTCCTCTGGCCTTATTACTTAAGTAACAGCCTCAGACAGACTTAGAGTGCAGTCTCAGGTTAGACCACTCATCTGTTAATTCTCCTCCAATGCTCGCTGGACTGTACCAAAGCCTAGTGTGAAATAGCACTACTTTTCATAGACTCTACAGACCACATCCACTAGTCATTCCAACCCCAGCTCAAAATGCAGCTACCACCATGATAGCTTAGCAAACAGTCTCAGACCGAGCATCAGCCCACTGATCACTAGCGGTGGACACAGGCCAGAAGAGCCCAGCCAGACCCAGGTAGGTCCACTCACCGCAGATGAAGCATGTTGTCTTCAGGACTTCCTCCTTTTTCTGTTTCTCACTCCTGAGGTCGGCAAAGGTGTCGATGATGACTCCGAAGATGAGGTTGAGGACGATGATGATGACGAGGAAGAAGAAGAGTAGGTCGTAGATCACCCTGCCAGCAAATAGAGGCTCCTAGCAAAGACAAGGAAGACAGGAAAAGTCATTTGATAACATACACCTGAACATTTCAACTAGTCAACTATCAAAGATGACTGCAGCTATGAAACACAACTGCAGCAAAATTCTTCCCTGTTGATTAGCAATAATTGAGATTGAGGTGAAGCTAAACTGTGTTTCTTTCTTCCTCTTTCTGGACCTGTGGGAAATGTAAATGGATTGATGGTGTTCAACATGGGCATTTGCGTACCTCTTTGGATGGCTTCCGCAGAACGTCCCCCACACCACCTCCACTCCTCAGGCCGTGACTCAGGACAGTGACGATACACATGAGGAGGGAGTCACATGACCGCTCCTTGTCTTCAATCACCACCGCCGACGGCTGGGTGGCAATGGCAGCTACAGAGCGACATCAGGGATATGAATTACACATAGTGTATATCCACAACAAATCCACAAGCCCTTTTCATCCAAATCACATCTACATTTCTCACATGGCAAATTCTGTGTTGAGGATAAAGAATTATATATTTGGTAAATGAGGACAATGTTGTGCGAACAAAAGCTTAAAATAAACCTGCAAAACAACCCTACCACAGCCTGCTTCTTCCCAGCACAGGAACCACTGACAATACCAATGTGACCCTCCCAAACAGTTCTCAAAAAACAAGAAGTCACCAGACTAGCGTCATTAATTTGGGTGATGTTGATGGTGGTGGAAGCCAACATGAGGTTTGAACCTATGACACCCTCAGGCGTGACAAGGTTCAGAAAAGTTTGACTGAGCACATTAAGGCAGCATGCAGGTCATCTTTAATTTGGGAGCTTTTTCTAAAGAAGTCAACAGTGTCTGTTAGAATGCCTGGATCCCAATGAGTTGCTCCCGGCACCATCTCAGAGCGAACACGTTCTGTGCCTGATGGCAACTAACCACTAACCTCTCCTCCACCTCCCTCTGGATCCTGGTCCTCCAGAAGCAGACACACACGGCAGGGCCTAAACACCTGTGTGTTTTCCCCAGCCCAGCCAAACCCAGCCAGGCCTAAACCCCTGTGTTTTCCTCAGCCCAGCCAAACCCAGCCAGGCCTAAACCCCTGTGTTTTCCCCAGCCCAGAAGGGAGAGGCTATACGGACACGCCTGGTTCCCAAAACTGATGACGTGTGTCACGCAGCAAGAGTTGAGTTGGGACGAACGGATTCGTTTGTCAGTTCTGTCAGTTGCCTTGTCCTAATGAGCGCTCCCCAGCAAGCTAGTTTATGCTTATTGCTAGAAACTTCCGCGAGAATTTGAAACTTGAAGGAAGTTGGAACTTGGGAGTTGAGAATCATTCAGTTTTATCAGACTACAAAATCAACAAATGTGCTTTAGCTGCCTGTCACCCTGGTCTGATATTAGCTGCACTATCTATACTTCCCTCTAAGTTACTGCAGGACAGCAGTGCTCGGCACGCAGGACTCGGGAGCGAGGACACACTGTGTTAAGTTGCAGGCTTGCAGCGCAAACTCTTCCCATTGAGCAGCAGGAGACTGTATCACGGTGACATCCAGATGTTTACTACCAATACAAGTTATTTCTTGTGTAGGCTGCTATCCTACTCAAAATATAATTGAGTATGGAAGAAATTGGCAACATCAACTACCGCCAGCTGCATGTGATACAGCTGCCCGGTGAAGCAACTGCTGTCCAGTGGGAAGCAAAAGTGTAAAGCACCTCACAACACCGTTGCATTGGTCATTCACACCGGCTTGTCGTAACGTTAGCTAATTGGCATGTCACGGTGACATCCAGATTTCAGATGGTGACCAATACTACAAGTTATTTCTCCTTCGCCCATCGAAATAAACATCACATTTTCTTTGACAAGTTTTAACTAGCGCCATGCTGTTGTTGCCAGCATAAACTAGCTAGCTGGGAATGAAGGGCTTATCAGGACGACTGACTGAACAGAATCCATCGACTCTCGGCTGCATGACATTTGTCATCAATTTGGGCACCAGGAGTGTCGGTATAGCCTCTCCCAGCCCAGCCAAACCTAGCCATGTCTAAAACCCTGTGTGCTTCCCCCAGCCAGCCAAACCCAGCCAGGCCTAGTCAAGGCCTAATCCCATGACTGCCTCATCGCACAGATTTCCGTCTCAGTGGAATTGTGGGAAACGTCTCCTCTGGGGGAGGACTGACTCAGGTGGTCTGAAAGGACACAGGAGAACCCCTTGACACACATGCAAGCCTGCGCACACACACATACACACACACACTTTTCCCTTTTCCTGGAGCACATACCATCCACAACAGCTTCTGTGGAGCAGTTCTCCCCGCTGTCCTTCTGACAGACTCCTGCTGACAGGAAATCTCCCACCATACTGGCTCCACTCTCTGCTAAACAGGAAAACAAAATGTCAGGAGAGACTCAATATTGAGCCTTTGTTGGCTCAATATTGTCTATTGTAAACGAGGGACCATATTTGGCAGAAGTTGCAGAGTTATTTCACAGCAGGAAATCTGGTGTAAGTCATTTTAAAATATGACAATCAGAGTGGGGAGGATAGACAGAAGAAGTCGTTCTGTTTGGGAACCCTAAGTGTCATAGTACCTGCACTTTGAGCTTACCTAGTGTTTTATTAGGTATCCTGTCAATATTGAGGAGGAAGTCATCCTGGAAGAAGATGTAACCTACGATGGAGAAGAGGTAGACCAGGATGAGAGCCAGCACGGCTGTCAGCAGGATGGAGCGTCCATTACGGGTTACACTCTTGATCACGTTCAGCAGAGTCTCCTCCCTGTACACCAGGTCAAAGAGCTGCAGGAGAGACAAGAGACAAACACAGCTTAGTGGGAGACAGGAGGATGAGTGAGTGAGATACACTTTCCCCGTCCATACAACTAGCTGGGTTACATCGTGCAGATAGGAATAAAGAACTCTCCGGGAAGAAGAGAGGCGATGGTGTATGTTTCATGATTAACTACTCATGGTGTGATTGTGGTAATGTACAGGAACTCAAGTCCTTTTGTTCACCCGAACTAGAATACCTCACAATCAAATGCAGACCGCATTACCTCCCGAGAGAATTCTCTTCGGTCATCGTCACAGACGTGTATTCCCCCTCAAGCTGATACCACGACGGCTCTCAAGGAACTATATCCTGAGGCCGCATTTATTGTAGCTGGGGACTTTAATAAAGCAAATCTGAAGTTCTATCAACACATTGCCTGCAGTACTCACGGTTCAGAAACTCTGGACCATTGTTCTCCCTTCCGGAATGGCTACAAGGCCCAGTTCAGTTATGCCCTTGGTAAGGCAATCAAACAGGCAAAACATCAGTACAGACACAAAGCGGAGTCGCAATTCAATGGCTCAGACATGAGACGTATGTGGCAGGGACTCCAGATAATCACGGATTACAAAGGGAAAACCAGTCAGGTCGCGGACACTGAAGTCTTGCTCCCGGACAAGCTAAACACCTTCTTCGCCTGCTTTGAGGATAACAGTGCCACCGACGCGGGCCACTCCAGAGAACTGTAAGCTCTTATTCTCTGTGGCCGACGTGAGTAAGACATTTAAACATGTTAACCCTCGCAAGGCTGCTAGCCCAGACGGCATCCCTAGATGCATCCTCAGAGCATGCGCAGACCAGTTGGCTGGAGTGTTTATGGACATATTCAATCTCTCCCTATCCCAGTCTGCTATCCCCACTTGCATCAAGATGTCCACCATTGTTCCTGTACCCAAGAAAGTGAAGGTAACTGAACTAAATGACTATCGCCCCGTAGCACTCACAGCTGTCATCATGTAGTGCTTTGAGAGGCTAGTTAAGGATCATAACACCCCCACCTTACCTGACACCCTAGACCCGCTGCAATTTGCATACCGTCCCAATAGATCCACGGATGATGCAATCGCCATCGCACTGCCCTATCCCATCTGAACAAGAGAAATAGTTATGTAAGAATGCTGTTCATTGACTACAGCTCAGCCTTCAACACCATAGTACCCTCCAAGCTCATCGTTAAGCTCGGGGCCCTGGGTCTGATATTTGCCCTGTGCAACTGGGTCCTGGACTTCCTGACGGGCCGCCCCCAGGTGGTGAAGGTAGGCAACAACACCTCCACTATGCTGATCCTCAACACAAGGGCACCACAAGGGTGTGCGCTCAGTCCCCTCCTGTACTCCCTGTTCACCCATGACTTAGTGGCCACGCATGCCACCAACTCAATCATCAAGTTTGCAGACGACACAACAGTGGTAGGCTTGATTACCAACAATGACAAGACAGCCTACAGGGAGGAGGTGAAGGCCCTGGCGGAGTGGTGCCAGGAAAATAACCTCTCCCTCAACGTCAACAAAATGAAGGAACTGATTGTGGACTTCAGGAAACAGCAGAGAGAGCACGCCCCTATCCACCCAAACAGACAGTGTGGTGAAGAAGGCGCAACAGCGCCTCTTCAACCTCAGGAGAGTGAAGAAATTTGACTTGGCCCTAAGACCCTCACAAACCTTTACAGAAGCACCATGGAGAGCATTCTGTCGGGATGTATCACCGCCTGGTACGGCAATTGCACGGTCTCCAACCGCAGGGCTCTCCAGAGGGTGGTGCAGTCTGCCCAATGCATCACCGGGGGCACACTGCCAGCCCTCCAGGAAATCTACAGCACCCGGTGTCACAGGAAGGCCAAGAAGATCATCAAGGACCTCAGCCAACCGAGCCAAGGCCTGTTCACCCCGCTATCATCCAGAAGGCAAGGTCAATACAGGTGCATCAAAGCTGAGACCAAGAGACTGAAAAACAGCTTCCATCCCAAGGCCATCAGATTGTTAAATAGCCATCACTAGCCGGCCTCCACCCAGTACCCTGCCCTGAACTTAGTCACTAGCCAGCTACCACCCAGTTACTGAACCCTGCACCTTAGAGGCTGCTGCCTTATGTACATAACATGGAACACTGGTCACTTTAATAATGTTTACATACTGTTTTACCCATTTCATATGTATATTCTGTATTCTAGTCAAGTCATTCCTATTCAACTATTGCTGTGCATATACTATTCTATCCTACGTATTTTCATATTCTATCCACATACTGTCCATAATGTCTATGGTACACACTACCGGTCAAAGGTTTTAGAACACCTACTCATTCAAGGGTTTGTCTTTATTTTTACTATTTTCTACATTGTAGAATAATAGTGAAGACATCAAAACTATGAAATAACACATATGGAATCATGTAGTAACCAAGTAAAAATATATTTTAAATTTGAGATTCTTCAAATAGCCACCCTATGCCTTGATGACAGCTTTACACACTCTCATCCAGCTTCACCTGGAATGCTTTTCCAACAGTCTTGAAGGAGTTCCCACATATGCTGAGCACTTGTTGGCTGCTTTTCCTTCACTCTGCGGTCAGACTCATCCCAAACCATCTCAATTTGGTTGAGGTCGGGGGATTGTGGTGGCCAGGTCATCTGATGCAGTGCTCCATCACTCTCCTTCTTGGTCAAATAGTCCTTACACAGCCTGGAGGTGTGTTGGGTCATTGTCCTGTAGAAAAACAAATGATAGTCCCACTAAGCCCAAACCAGATGGGATGGCGTATCGCTGCAGAATGCTGTTTAAGTGTGCCTTGATTTCTAAATAAATCACAGACGACAGTGTCACCAGCAAAGCACCCCCACACCATAACACCTCCTCCTCCATACTTTATGGTGGGAAATACACATGCGGAGATCATCCGTTCACCCACACCGCGTCTCACAAAGACACAGCGGTTGGAACCAAAAATCTCCAATTTGGACTCCAGACCAAAGGACACATTTCCACTTGTCTGATGTCCATTGCTCGTGTTTCTTGGCCCAAGCAAGTCTCTTCTTATTATTGGTGTCCTTTAGTAGTGGTTTATTTGCAGGAATTCGACCATGAAGGCCTGATTTACACAGTCTCCTCTGAACAGTTGATGTTGAGATGTGTCTGTTACTTGAACTCTGTGAAGCATTTATTTGGGCTGCAATTTCTGAGGCTGGTAACTCTAACAAACTTATCCTCTGCAGCAGAGGTAACTCTGGGTCTCCCATTCCTGTGGCGGTCCTCATGAGAGCCAGTTTCATCATAGCGCTTGATGGTTTTTGCGACTTCACTTGAAGAAACTTTCAAAGTTCTTGAAATGTTCCATATTGACTGACCTTCATGTCTTAAAGTAATGATGGACTGTCGTTTTTCTTTGCTTATTTGAGCAGTTCTTGCCATAATATGGACTTGGTCTTTTACCAAATAGGACTAATCTTCTGTATACCTCCCCCTACCTTGTCACAACACAACTTTTTGGCTCAAAAGCATTAACAAGGAAAGAAATTCCACAAATTAACTTTTAAGAAGGCACACCTGTTAATTGAAATGCATTCCAGGTGACTACCTCATGAAGCTGGTTGAGAGAATGCCAAGAGTGTGCAAAGCTGTCATCAAGGCAAAGGGTGGCTATTTGAAAAATCTCAAATATAAAATATATTTTGATTTGTTTAACACTTTTTTGGTTACTACATGATTCCATATGTATTATTTCATAGTTTTGATGTTTTCACTATTATTCTACAATGTAGAAAATAGTAAAAATAAAGAAAAACCCTTGAATGAGTATGTGTTCTAATACTTTTGACCGGTAGTTTATATATTTCGCTACTGCCGAAGTAACATTTGCTAAATATGTGTATGTGACCAATACAATTGGAATTGATTTGATTTGAGAGAGTGAGCGAGCGAGCGAGAAGACGAGTGAGTGAGAGTACAGTTTTTACCAGCAGACTGTAGAAGAAGACATGGACGAAGACACCCAGACTACAGATGATCAGGTAGAGGAGGTGGTAGAGGAACTCTACATCCATGATCATGGCCTTGTAGCCCCGCGTGAACGTCCCTCTGTTCCCCACAAAACTCATCAAGAAGATCATCTTATTGCCCACCTGAGGAACAGTGGAAAACATAGAAGGATTAAGTCAAAGAGCAACAATTTTGCCATGTTAATTTAAAAGTACATACTGGTACAACTAAGTAAAGAGATACAGAAACAATCAGGCATAGCAGACTAACACATAGCCAACTTTTGTTACAGAGACTGGCATAGAGGGGGAAAACTGCTCCCAGAAAAGTTGACATCACTCCAAAAAACTTCATGTGCAAGAAGCATTGGTCATGCATCCATTCAACAGGTTTTTACTCTTAAAAATAAATAAATAAATACATGTCACATACACCGGGTAGGTGCAGTGAGTGTTCTGTTGGTCTGGTTGACGCAAGAGTGCCACAGCTCTGTGGAATCCCACAGCGACGCACTACACACTTCACCTCACATGTGGGTCAGGCCAGGACACTGGATAGGGCGTTTGAGGGCACAGGAGCTACTGTGACAGGACCATGTGACCACAAACCTTCCCAGTCACAGAGGCACTCACACACACACACACTTGCAGACACACTCACGTTAAAGGCCCCTAGCAGGAAGAGGGTGGGCTCCAGGCCCACAGAGAAGATGAGGCGGAGGATGGTGGAGGCGATGAGGACCCGGACGCCGTGGGGCTGGGGCAGGATGATGACGATGGCCAGGGACACCAGCATGGCGATCCACAGCAGGGCTGACAGGTGACCATCCAGGGTACCTGGAAGAAGGAGGGGGAGAGGAGAGAGGTGAGAGGAGAGAAGTGGGGTTAAAAGGTAGAAATGGGGCGTGGATAGTGTTGTCCATGCAAGATGCCTACATGGAATATTCATACAGTGACACTTAGGCCTACTGTAGATACAGTTAAAGATCTGTTTACATTGAATGTTGAATCAAAAGACAAAAGCAGCCAACACTACAAGCGTCGGCTCATCCAACTGCTGTAATGATAGATGGCAACGCATTGGATTGTATTAACAAGCAAACAATCTGTTCTAGGCCTCCAGTGCGGGACATCCCTCTGCAGTAGTTTCACCTGTTGGACATGCTCAGGCAAAATATCTCCCCAGGGAGACGAGGCAGAGCTCTAGAACTTCACAATACTACCAGTTACAACAGAGGTTAAAGTGTGACACATCAGAATGTTGTGGCTCAGTGAAGCTTTAACATGAGCTTACCTGGCACAAACTTGGTGGCTAAGTCCCAGCTATGTCTGTGCAACACAAGGACAAAGTCAGTCGGATAACTGTGTGCGTGCATGCGTGTATGTGTGTTAAGATGAAAACAATTTAGTCGGTTTTGCTGTATTCAATTCTAGGCCCCAGCCAGAGGCCAGTTTCGCCCCCTCTTCTCCTCTCCGTGCAGAGATCACATGACAGGTGCATGTTACATAACTGGGGCAGCTAAAAATACACCTGGCTCCTGAGAAATTCATGAGGGATGGTCTGGGAGTGATCCCAGGTCCGCCGGCTGACAGCCCGCCAGGGAGCTGGACTCCACAGCCAAGCCCAGGAATGACGGCTAGGCTCACTTCTGTTAACTCACAGCACCTTTAGAGAAACCACCTCTCAGAGACATACAGTATCACAGGTGTCATGTCTCACTCCTATCTAATCCTATTATTCCTACTTATTGTTTACCTATCTCTAGACCTGCATACTGTAAGCACAAGTCTTCACATGCATTTCTCCTGCTCTCAAAAATGTATTTCAATAAAAGCTTTGTTTATTGTCTTAATGTCACACTTCCACGCAATACTTAGAAATGACACTGAAATGAGACTTCTCTTTTACAAGCAGCTGGATTGAACATTAACAACGAGCAGCATTAGAGCTGGCATACATCCAGACAGACATTAGTATGGACCAATCAGTTGTATGTGCGTTTAAGATTTACTACAGAGCAATAATGATACGCAAGCCAAGGTTTTATGCATATGATGGATGGCTACATCGTTAAGCTGACATCATTTCCCCCATCGCACACCAGCGGACGTGTCCTCAGCGTAGCCCTACAGTCTGATGCTACGCTCTCTGAAGTTCTTTGACACTGTAAACCACATGAAAGTATTCTAGCGTTTTTTTCCCTCCCTCTCTCTCTGAGGAAATTCAAAACAAAAGGGACTGCGCTGCTTGACCCCAGTTAGACAGAACAATGTAAAGTTTATGTGAGTCACAATGTGGGTCTTCTCTCTGCAACAATAGAGGCCTTAATGACTGGGGTTGTGGTTTACACATCACCACAGACTAACACTGCTCTCAGGCATATACAGTGAGGGAAAAAAGTATTTGATCCCCTTCTGATTTTGTACGTTTGCCCACTGACAAAGACATGATCAGTCTATAATTTTAATGGTAGGTTTATTTGAATGGTGAGAGACTGAATAACAACAAAAAAATCCAGAAAAACGCATGTCAAAAATGTTATAAATTGATTTGCATTTTAATGAAGGAAATAAGAATTTGACCCCTCTGCAAAACATGACTTAGTACTTGGTGGCAAAACCCTTTTTGGCAATCACAGAGGTCAGACGTTTCTTGTAGTTGTCCACCAGGTTTGCACACATATCAGGAGGGATTTTGTTCCACTCTTCTTTGCAGATCTTCTCCAAGTCATTAAGGTTTTGAGGCTGACGTTTGGCAACTCAAACCTTCAGCTCCCTCCACAGATTTTCTATGGGATTAAGGTCTGGAGACTGCCTAGGCCACTCCAGGACCTTAATGTGCTTCTTCTTGAGCCACTCCTTTGTTGCCTTGGCCGTGTGTTTTGGGTCATTGTCATGCTGGAATACCCATCCACGACCCATTTTCAATGCCCTGGCTGAGGGAAGGAGGTTCTCACCCAAGATTTGACGGTACATGGCCCCGTCCATCGTCCCTTTGATGCGGTAAAGTTGTCCTGTCCCCTTAGCAGAAAAACACCCCCAAAGCATAATGTTTCCACCTCCATGTTTGACGGTAGGGATGGTGTTCTTGGGGTCATAGGCAGCATTCCTCCTCCTCCAAACACGGCGAGTTGAGTTGATGCCAAAGAGCTCGATTTTGTCTCATCTGACCACAACACTTTCACCCAGTTCTCATCTGAATCATTCAGATGTTTATTGGCAAACTTCAGACGGGCCTGTATATGTGCTTTTTTGAGCAGGGGGACATTGCGGGCGCTGCAGGATTTCAGTCCTTCACGGCGTAGTGTGTTACCAATTGCTTTCTTGGTGATTATGGTCCCAGCTGCCTTGAGATCATTGACAAGATCCTCCCGTGTAGTTCTGGGCTGATTCCTCACCGTTCTCATGATCACTGCAACGCCACGAGGTGAGATCTTGCATGGAGCCCCAGGCCGAGGGAGATTGATAGTTATTTTGTGTTTCTTCCATTTGCGAATAATCACACCAACTGTTGTCACCTTCTCACCAAGCTGCTTGGCGATGGTCTTGTAGCCCATTCCAGCCTTGTGTAGGTCTACAATCTTGTCCCTGACATCCTTGGAGAGCTCTTTGGTCTTGGCCATGGTGGAGAGTTTGATTGATTGCTTCTGTGGACAGGTGTCTTTTATACAGGTAACAAGCTGAGATTAGGAGCACTCCCTTTAAGAGTGTGCTCCTAATCTCAGCTCGTTACCTGTATAAAAGACACCTGGGAGCCAGAAATCTTTCTGATTGAGAGGGGGTCAAATACTTATTTCCCTCATTAAAATGCAAATCAATTTATAACATGCGTTTTTCTGGATTTTGTTGTTGTTATTCTGTCTCTCACTGTTCAAATAAACCTACCATTAAAATTATGGACTGATCATTTCTTTGTCAGTGGGCAAACGTACAAACTCAGCAGGGGATTGGATCAAATACAGGGGATTGGATCAAATACTTTTTTCCTTCACGATAGATAGATAGATAGATAGAGAGATAGAGAGATAGGGAGAGAGAGAGAGAGAGAATGAGTATTACTTGTATTGTGTATTCATATTTTTCTTTATGTCCACAGATATATAGATTTTCAAGCACATTCTCATTTCTTCTGCTTTGTTGCTGCTTATCGGACGTTCATTATTTGACGAGAGAGACTGTTGGGAATTATCTAAGAGTTGAGAGGGACCCACCCCAGGCCTTATTGGTTAGGTGTCACTTTTTAGGGTAGACCAAACACTGCAGTCTGCGTTCTAGGCGTAATGATTCCTGCCAGGCTCAGGGTAACCAGACCACATGGAGGCACACACAGTACACACACACAGCCCAACTCACCAACAATAGAGACAGATACATGGCAGTGGATCCTGACTAAAGGCTCATCAGTGTCAACGTGAAGACAGGAATCTGGTGACAGGTTCATTAAGTGTGTGTGTGTGTGTTAACTTAAGCTCAAACCCTGTATCAATAATCAGGTCAGGGCCCATATGCACAAAGCATCTCAGAAAATATCCTAGGAATCCTGCTAAAACCCATTTTAAGACTAAATGAACTGCCAGCTCAGAGTAGGTTTTAGGATGATCTTAAGACACTGCCCAGACAAACTCTGAGCCAGGAGTACAATCAACTCATAAAAGTTTCTCAGCTGGTAATCACAACAGTTTGAGGTACTAGGCGGCAGGTAGCCTAGCTGTTAGAGCGTTGGGCCACTAACCGAAAGGTTGCTGGTTCGAATGGCCGAGCCAACAAGGTGAAAAATCTGTCGATGTGCTCTTGAGCAAGGCACTTAACCCCAATTTGCTCCAGGGGCGCTGTACTACTATGGCTGACCCTGTAAAACAACATATTTCACTGTACCTATCCGGTGTATGTGACAATAAAACATTTTTTTTTTTTTTTATGTACCGCAAAGGAAAGATTGTGATGACACTCATTGACATTATAGCAAATGATGGGAAATAACCCATCGTGATGAGGCATCGCCAGCTATGAACTCTATAGCACACTTCAGACAACCACAGTGAATGTGATTGTAGGCCTACATCAAATGTTGCAATGGTAAAACGTTTTCTATAATTTTCACATGACACGATCAGTTTGCCTACTCTTAATTATTGCATAATATGTTGGTGTGCATAACCTGTGCTTTAAAACATACATTTATTTTCTCTGCCGTCAAGAGGAGGGCTACAATTTTTCTTTTTGCCCGGTTAGTGGTGGGGGCCTCCAATCAAATCTCGCTTAGGGCCCCCAAAAGGCTAGAGACGCCCCTGATAGCAACACACTGGTCACTCCCATTTAACAACTCTAAATCGCTTTGGCACAGTAGGCATCAAGTCACTAAATGTCTAAATAAGCATGTGCATTGTAAACCACTGTTGAAATATAAAGTACGGCAAAGTGGAATCACAAGACCTTCAGAAAACTGTTTTTAAAAAGGGATGAACCAGTTTACGCTCCATTCACCTTCCCAAACAGCTTGTGGTTGTGTGTAACATGCATTGTAATGCAGTTCCCCTTGCTTTAAATGGTCTGTGTGTATCATTCGTTCAAATATCCTGTTTTGTAACAGTCACACATGTAGAATAAACAGAGAACCTGTAGCTACACATGCAGAGATCAGCCATTGATTGGCACAGACACCCTGCAAATTACTCAGATGATTGAGGATGGGGAGGAGGACGGAGGAGAGAACTCACTGACCTCTGCGGATTCCTTCCAGAGGGTAGAAGAAGGCTACCAGCAGGTTCATGAGCACGGCCAGGTTGAATGAGATGCTGCTCCAGAAGGACATGTTGCGAGAGCACCAGTATAGAATGGGCTGGGCTGGAGAGGGGACGAGGAGTGCCAACACACACAGTCAATACACAGTCAACAGTATCACTTCTACACCAGACAACCACACAGTGCATTCACTACTACAACTTCACCACCACCACAATACTGCTGCACTCACAAACTTAGACAGGATTCACAGGAGATGCACATACACATACAGTATATATTGCACATGTAAACACATTCGACAGAGCATTAATTGGAGGATTTTCCACTTATGCACAATGCAGAGGTTCTTACCAAACACACTCACAATTGCATCTAGAGCTAAATCTCAAAGACATACACTGTACCACCAGGGGCTTGAGTTATGTAAATTATGACATTTTTGAAAGGGGGGAAGGAGTGACAATTTTGTATCAATTGGTTAGTTGTAGTAAGGTTATTGCTAGCTGGTACCCAAACATCATGGGTGATTGGGCGATTCACTTATCACTGTTTTTCCTTCCAGCAAATAATACACCCCAGTGGCACGTGTTATGACTATCCTGCAACTGATGCAGGAAATGACTGAAGTTTTTGCCTTGTTTGTGCCAGCTGAAGCATGATACACAGTAGGGCAGTGTTTCCCAAACTTGGTACTGGGGACCCCAATGGCTGCACATTTAGTTTTTTGCCCTAGCACTACACAGTTGATTCTAATAATAAAAGGTTGATGATAATAGTACTACATAGTTACAATAGATACATAAGTTAATCAATTTTCACACCAGAGCAGTGTTTCCATTTTAATGTCTTTAGACATGTTTCCAAATTGAGGGTTAATTCTGCATTAAACTAGAATTACATCCAGGTTAGGGTTCACAGTCAGTTTATTAAATTGCGTAAGGGTCAAATACACACAGCAAAGCAAAAACTTCACCTAAATATCAAAAGGGTGCAAAGCCAATTAGCATGCTTATTTGGTGTACATTAATTTTTGGAGTGTGTTCAGTACTGTCCAGCCCCGGGGATTTGAACTTCAATTCGGAATCTCGACCGTCAACCCCCTCCCCGGTTAACATAAGCCACACTCTCCTCGCCTACTGCCCACATGACCATTGTTCAGAGAGGGTCACTGCTATTTTGGAGGCAGCTTTTTCATTTGAAAAGAGGAACTAAGGGTGGGGACTTTTATAAACAACAGCCACCGCACTCATGCATCAACGAAACAACATGGCTGATCAGTCGCTGTGCTGCTGATTCATTCAGATAAGACATGTGCGTCACGTGTGTTAGAGTGCAGTCCCCTCTTGCAGTACAGGGCTCACAGAGGGACAGACAGGCAGAAACACACTCCCACTGAGGAAACAAAGGGTGCAGTCATACAGCGACCGCAGCCTGAAGGGGGGTGAAGGGATCAGGTGCTAGGCATCAATAGGGAGACGCCCTACTGAATGTGCAACATGGGTACGTTGGGTGGGTAGACTTGGGGATGAGGGCATCAACAATCGCACCATGAGTTACTACTGTAGGACAATGCTTCATCAGATAATGACTCTTCCTCATAGGCTTAGTGTTTGCAAACAGATTCTGAGAGACATCATCTTATTTTCAAAGCGTCTTATCCTCTACCTCCTCAGAAACTCCTTTCCTCTCTAGCTCTCTTGAATCACTCTCTCCCCAGTCTCCCTCATGGCGTCTGGATCCCACTCATCAGTAGTTAGTCCTAATCTGGTCATGTCCTCCACCAGGGAGCAGTCCTATAGATGGCTCATGTCAGGGAACTTTCTGCTCTCTCTCAGTCTCTCCTGCCTCAACCCTTGTGAGCCTGTGGCCAGCAGTTGTGTCTGAAGGGAGTATGGACTGCTCCTGTACTGACTGTCTGCTGGATCCTGGACTGACTCTCTCTGGAAGAGACCCACTCAGACTGACCTCCAATCTCATTACACCCTGGGAGAGGATCACCCCCTGTTCTCAGAGAAGCTCAGCCTCTCTTCTAGCTATCTATACTCTCCCTCCTTTCCTACATGTACTCAGTGTAGTAAACAATCAGAATATATCCCACGTGATTATTTGTGTGTGTGTGTGTGTGTTACTGGCGTGGCGCACATCCCTGCAGCCCCCACAAGGCGGAGCGGACCCCATTTTTGGGGGTTGGGGACAGCATATGAACATATCTTAAGCCATGAAAGAAATTGCACAATTTTCTCTCAGCCTTTTGCAAAATGTGTACAATAGCAGGAAATTAGCTCAGAGATTCTTGAAAGTTGGGACAATCCTTGTCCAGCAAGGAAACTTTATTTTGATAGTAAAAAAAAATCTGGATTTTGTTGCATTATTTGAGCTTAAAATGTACATTTAGGGGAATTTTATAGAGGAAATGTTTGGTTTTGGGAATTTTCTAAATACTTTCAATATTATTCATTTCCATGTCACCGCTATGCCTGGAAATTCCTTTGTCAGGAGCAAAGGATCCTAATAAAAAAATATCCCAAAAAGTGTTTAAAATGAAAAAAACTGATAATAATGGATATTAACTGAAAAATGATCTCATGCAGTTTCTTGCAATAGCCCTCTGTGACTTTAAATAATATTTATCTCAAAACTGTAATTCCTAAAAGATGCTTCCGGATATTTGGTCAACTCCGTCAGGGTCAGTTATACCATAAGGACCCCTTATTCATGTCCTCATTACATGTACCATACACAAAAAAAATGTATGCACGCATGACTGTAAGTCGCTTTGGATAAAAGCGTCTGCTAAATGGCATATTATTATTATTATTATTATTATTATGTAGTGCAACAATACCACTCATGGTCTGTAAAGTTCTCTACTTTTGATAGATTTAAACAAACAATATTGGAATCACCATGGTTACAAGCATAAACTGTCAACTCTATCTGCCCGATAGAATATTAATTTTGGTTCACATATGTAACATTTAATTTGGTTTTAGAGTAATAAATCAACTAAGGAAAACAATGCAATTTTGTCAACTCCGTAAAACGTCAACTCCGTCAGAGTGCTGAAAGATCTGATAGAATGGTTATGTTTTTATTGGGGATTTTCAAATGAATCATTTTCCAGTTTTACAAATGCTTGTAATGAACAGAAATACAGTGCCTTCAGAAAGTTGTGTTGTGTTACAGCCTGAATTTAAAATGAATTAAATTTAGATTTTGTGTCACTGTCACAATACCCCATAATGTCAAAGTGGAATTATGTTTTGAGAAATATTTACAAATTAATAAAAAACATAAAGCTGAAATGTCTTGAGTCAATAAGTGTTCCTTTTGTTATGGCAAGCCTAAATAAGTTCAGAAGTAAAAATGTGCTTAACAAGTCACATAATAACTTGCAAGGACTCACGCTGTTTGCAATAATAACATTATTTTTAAATGACTACCCCATCTCCGTACCCCACACATACAATTATCTGTAAGGTCCCTCATTTGAGCAGTGAATTTCAAGCACAGATACAAAAAAAGACATGGGAGTTTTTCCAATGGTTTGCAAATAAGGGCACCTCCTACTGGTAGATTAGTAAAAATAAATAGAAAATAAACATTGAATATCCCTTTGAGCATGGTGAAGTTATTAATTACACTTTGGATGGTGTGTCAATACACCCACTCACTACAAAAGATACAAGTGCCATTCCTAACTCAGTTGCCGGAGAGGAAGGAAACTGCTCAGGGATTTCACCTTAAGGGTAATGGTGATTTTAAAACAGAGTTTAATGGCTGTGATAGGAGATAACTGAGGACGTATCAACAACATTGTAGTTACTCCACAATACTAACATAAATGACAGAGTGAAAAGAAGGAAGCCTGTACAGAATACAAATATTCCAAAACATGCATTCTGTTTGCAATAAGGCACTAAAGCAGTGGTCACCAACCTTTTCTGAATCAAGATCACTATTGTGTCAAAATGCAAGCCGACATCTACCGCTCAAAACATGACTTTAAAAAAACATATGCCTATGCAACATTAACCAGTTAAAAACAGTTATGTTGCAATGAGGTTTGTGCAGTAAGCAATAGGCCCAATACGTTATAACTGCATATTGGCTAAGCTTGAATTGCCCTGCCAATGTTGTTCTTCTCAGACCATTTTTAAAATTATATTTCAACATGTTCGGTATATGATCATACTGGTAATAGGTAATTTGTTGTATTACTTGTGATGCACAGTTGAGAGAGCATACAAATTTGCTTATTTATTTTTTACTGGACTGATGGCCTGCTTCTGATGGTCAGTCTGAGGGGAGGAAGGGCGCAGCAGTGAGGCTGCCTCTCACCCGACTCACCGTCCCTCCTCTCTCTCTCCCTCCACTGAGAAAAGGGGACAGTCTTCCAGCAGGTGGCGAAACTTAAGTCGGACTGCATTATTTCTGCATTATGCACCAATTCATGTTGTTATTCCTATGACCAGAGAATATTCCTAGATATTAAAAAGACACAAGCCGCTAATAATAATAATAACACAAGCTTATCAAAGCACTTTGCTATACTCATTCATTGCTGTTGCAGTGCTGGTTGTAGCGTGAGTGGAAGTAGGGAGAATGCGAATTTTATGGCTTACAAAAGTGTTGAACAAAGTGTTGACAGTCATGAATAACAACTTAAACATGAACTTACTCATAAAAACAGCAGCTCTTTGCTGTATTCGTTAATTTCCCTCTTTAGACATGGTTTAAAAAGTTGCTAAATCTCACAGTATCAACTTTGCTGTGCATTAGAGGCTTCTTTTTACAGTCAATGGCGTGAGGAAACGGTGCAGACACAGTGATCAGAGCTATCTGATTGGCCAGTGGTAGGCTTACAAGTGCACTTGTTTTGCTGTCTGGGCCTGTTGGGTAGGCGGAGTTCTACCTTCAGACACATGAAATGGTTCAAAATGGGAACACTTTGCCTTCCCGGCACTAGGGCTGCAAAATCAAGTGCACCCACTGCCAACAGCGTGAAACAAGGCTTTATCGTTGGGTGTTTTACAGAAATGTTTGGTTATCGACTAGGAATACCGGTTGGTGACCACTGCACTAAATAAATACTGCAAAAGAACGTGGCAAAGAAATTAACCTTTTGTCCTGAATTCAAAGCGTTATGTTAGGGGCAAATCCAACACAACATGTCGCTGAGTACCACTCTTCATATTTTCAAGCATGGTGGTGGCTGCATCATGTTTTTGGCATGCTTGTCATCGGCAAGGATTAGGTAGTTTTTTTAGGATAAAAAAAACGGAATAGAGCTAAGCACAGGCAAAATCCTAGAGGAAAACTTGGTTCAGTCAGCTTTCCAACAGTCACTGGGAGACAAATTCACCTTTCAGCAGGACAATAACCTAAAACACAAGGCCAAATATACACTGGAGTTGCTTACCAAGACGACATTGAATGTTCCCGAGTGGCTTGGTTACAGTTTGACTTAAAATCTGCTTGAAAAATCTATGGCAAGAAAAATGATCAACAACCAACTTGACAGACCTTGAATAATTTTTTAAAGAATATTGTACAATCCAGGTGTGCAAAGCTCTTAGACCGAGAAAGACTCACAGCTGTAATCGCTGCCAAAGGTGATTCTAACATGTATTGACTCAGGGGGTTGAATACTTATCAAGATACACTGAGTGAACAAAACATTAAGAACACCTTCCTAATATTGAGTTGCACGCACTGTGTCTGTTATGAGTATCTGTTGTCAACTCTGTCAGTGGTTTGTCAACTCTGTCACTGATGTAGTCAATTCTTTGTTAATATACTGAAAAAATATTTAAATCACTGTTCTGCAACATACAGTATGCTTAAACAACTTAAGTATTTGCTGTGCTAGTACTAAGGGATAATGTTTGCTTTATAAATGTTGTTTTATGTTCTAAATCTAGAAAAACATGCCAAAATGCTAATGAAATTAGCCCTGGAGCATTTAATAGTGCTATTAAACAAAACAAAAAAGAGGTTTGGAGATTTGTATTTCATATTTGAATAATCTAATGTTAGAATTAAACAATCAAGGCCATTAAACACTTGTTGGACAATAATTAAAACAATTTAATGCCTTTTATGGTGTCTGACAGAGTAGACATAAATCCAGTTAGTTGCATTTTATGAAAATGTTTAAAAAAATTAAGTGGTTGTTCCTTTACATGGTGTGATAGCTGATACTTCGTTGTATCAAAATATATAGTTCACATTTTGTTAATATTAAGACAAATATTTGTGGACAAAAAGTTGACTGTCCCATCTTTCAAGAATCCCTGAGCTGTAAAACAGCAACATTTTCTATCAGCCTCGTGGCAAAATGTGTAAAATAGCATTAGATTAGCTATAATACTGCACATTTTTCTCTCCCCATGGAATAATTATTACTCTTTTTTTTATTTAAAAAAGGGAGGTTAGATGTAACAATGTATTAATTAAATACCATCTCAGTAGTCTATTACACTTCTTAATAAAGCATTGTGAATGACTTTATAATTAGATTATATAAGATGATATAAGATACTGTATAAGATGATGACTCAAATTGTATTCTATTGTGGGACGCTGCAGAAATGTGTTTTTGGGTGCCACCAAATGATGGACTAGTGCCACCAACTGAAAAGGTTAGTGGGACCAGTGCCACCAGGGGAAAATGTTAGTCTGGAGCCCTGCAACCTTACACTGTAAATATCTTAACATTTATCCACCTTATGTTATGTACTCTAACTTAACGTATAACCTTTGCATGCCCTCTCCCCTGCCTTCCTTCCCTCCAGGGTTCAGGGTGGGTCTCTGGCCCACACATGGAGGACCTGACCCAGCCTGGGGAGTCTCCTGAGGGGCCCTGAGGGGTCAGGGAGGGGTGAGGGCATGTAAAGCAGGTACCTAGTATAGAGAGGTAGGGAGAGGGACGCACAGGGAACCGTGTTTGCGTTACCAGTGGTTGGCTCTTGAGTACCTCGCAGCTTCTTCTGCCAGTTCATCTCGTTGAAGAGGTCCTCGGAGCGCAGGAAGAAGTCGTTGATCTTGCTGCCCTGCTCGTCACGCTCCGTGGTGTAGTACACCCGCAGCTTGGACTCGTTGGTGAGGAACTCACAGATGTTGGGCACGGGGAAGACTATCTGCTCCATGGTGCGATCCAGCCGCACAATCTGGACACAACCACATGCAGCCAGTGCTGCCCGTCACAGACCCTCTCTCTCAGGGGGGGACGGCAACTCTAGGCCCTGGACTGGGTAGGCCCCAAACTTTATGGTTAGATAGTGGCATGTCGGTGCCTATTCTTCACCTTGGAAAACTGTCTAAAACATGATCTGGCTATAATAGACTGTTTTATACTTGAAGAGGAGTAAGGAGGGCAATTGTTTGTGTATAAAAGCACAGTACAACACCTTACACACTCATTTGATAAGCTCTTCCTTGTTTGAGGTTTTGTGCATTCTCAACAGAAAGCATTCTTTCCCTTTCCTGAGCTCACAGTGGAACACATGCAAACATGCCAAGGATGCTTGTAATTTTCATACACTAACAAAACACAAAATACTGACAGCAGGCCAAGAAAGCGGGCCAAGAAAAACAATATGACTGTCACATGGCTAGGGTAAGGAAAAGTCCAAACATATTGCCAAAATACATGTTGCAATCCACCAAAGTTAATACAGGGGTAATAAAACAGAAAACTACATGGTGAAAACAGATTGGAAAAAATGAACCACAATGGCGGACTCTCCTGAATCATGGGTAAAATGACTGACCTCAATTTGAGCTGTGTGCTTGGCATAGAACTCCAGGGCATCATCCCCCTCCCCATAGGTCTTCAACATGCCCTGCAGCTCCTTGTTGTGGCGGGCCAACTGTATGAATGCACCAATGCTGTCAGGTGATGTATCACATTATCCTTGTGAATTTTTATTGTACTGTCATTGGTCAAGATTTACAATCAGGGTTTTCTAAGTCACCAACCAAAATTTTTTTGTGTCTATTTTCCTCATTGTATCTGACATGTGGCATGAAACGTGTTAGGTGTGGTCTGGGAGTTTCTCTAGCTGCCTGTGGGGACAGGGAACTGACACTGACACCAGACGTGTCTGACAGTACATGCCGCTGTTTGTCTTTGTCTGTACAGGATGTGGACTGTTCAGTTTTTCACACACTAGCATGCTGGGTATCATGCCTTGGGATCAACATTTTTATTTACATAACTGAAACTGTCTGTTGTTCATCCACATAACTACTTGAATAGACACAGTCATGAATAGAGCTGTATTGTGCCTAAGTGGGGTTAGAGGGGAAGAGCTCTGATGTAATATGCCTATAGGTTGTATAGGAGCTGTTACAGGAGGTGTAAAGTTACATGCAGTGGTCTACAGTACCTGATGAGCCAGGATGTAGATGTTGTGGCCCACGTTTCGTGGAGAGGCCGCATGCTCTTCCTCACCATCTTCATCTTCCTCAGCAGGCTCCTCCGGCTCCACCTCCCCCTGCATGTAGGCCTTCTTTATCACCTCCACCTGCACGTCACAAACCAGACCGTCAGATAACTTCCCCTTAACAATATCCTCTGTGCCATGCCGTGCTGCAGGTATATCTGACTACCAATACATGGCACTCACCAGTTCTTTAGGCCTCATGTTGTACAGTATCCTCTCTGCATTCTCGCTGTCGTGGCGACTCTCCATGATGGCCAAGAGGAGCTTAGAGGCGTTATTCTGGAACAGAGAGAGAGAGGGGCAAGGGATACAGAACATCAGGAGGATGAATAACATTCAGGTTGTCATGAGTGCTGGTTGTTTAAAAATGCATTGAAACCAAGACAGAACAAAGGGATAAGAAAGGAATACACACAGCGTGCAACATGACTACTAAACCAAGACAACCTTGAGCTCCAGCACCAGGTCCATCCTCTTCTTGCCCAGGGGGTTGATGTCGTTGAGGATTAGAGCGATGATGATGTCGATACCGTTGCATTCATGAGTGGCGATGCAGTTCTGACAGAGAAACAGACATACAGGAAACTTTTTGACGTTGTATTTACGATTGAGTCAAAATATATCCAGATTAACCGGAAAACAATATTATTATTATATTGTTTAGTCTGACATGAACCTGCAAGAAAAAGCCATTCAAGGAACGCCTTTTTTTGTATGGAGCTGTGTACTGGGACCTATCTGGGCATGTAAAGAGAATTTAAAAGCTTAATTAAAGCACTGCCAAATAAGAACAACCCTGCAATTACTGAAATAGAGATATCAATTAGACGCAAACACTGGGTAATTTGACTTCAACGTTTCATGATACTGCATGTGCACATATAAAACAATGCTTTTGATCTAGGTAGCAGGAGGTGTGAGTGTGTGTGCCCACCTGGTTCTCATGGCAGGGTCCCTGGCAGTACTCTGTGAGGCTCTCTACTGTCTGGTTGATGAGGCCTACGTTCTTCTCATTGATGTAGAGTCCCAGCAGCCCCAGGCCTCCCGTGGTGCTGCCACAGATACAGTCCAGGAACTGCAGCGTCTCACACACCAGGTTATAGTTGTTCTTGTTGTTCTGACACCTCAGGAAGTTCTGGAGCGGAAAGAGACACAACTTTTAAGTTAGAGACACACTAATTCATACATTCATTCTAGACTTTGGCAATATGAACAATAACCTTAGATCCCTCTATGAATAAATGGGGTTATTCCACTGAAAACCTAAAAGGTACTAGCTTTGAGTATAATATTATCAGAAAATATAAATGATCAATATGCTATGTTAAAAAGGCTGCCTGTTATAGCTGCCCTCTGCCTAAGAGGCGGTGCATTTGCGTATAGCCCAGTACATCACTGGGGCCGAGGTCCTGGATGGCAGGGAGCTCTATACCAGGCGGTGTCAGAGGAAGGCCCTAAACATTTTCAAAGAGTCCAGCCACCCAAGTCATAGACTGTCCTCTCTGCTTCCGCACGGCAAGCGGTACCGATGCACCAAGTCTGGAACCAACAGGACCCTGAACAGCTTCTACCCCCAAGCCATAAGACTGCTAAATAGTTAGTTAAATAGTTAACCAAATAGCTACCCGGACTATATGCATTGAGCCTTTTTGCACTAACTTTGACTCATCACATATGCTGCTGCTACTGTTTATTATCATATCCACCTCAATTACCTCGTACCCCTGCACATTGACTCGGTACTGGTACTCTGTGTATATAGCCAAGTTATCGTTACTCAACGTGTATTTATTATTACTTTTATTAGGGCCCGTAAGTAAGCATTTCACTGTTAGTCTACACCTGTTGTTTACAGTAGCAGTGCGTGGGTAAAATCACTGGGGAAACCAAGCCCCCCTCCCACCAAAAGGCCATAATTCAACCTATGTGTTGTGATAATTGCATTGTTTGCTCTATAACCTGTTAATTAATACGCCTTGCGACCTTGATATATAGGCCTAAAGGCAGAGACAATAAGAACACACAGTGGCAGAATAAATTCAACCACACCTTTGTTTTATCACAAAACCAGATAGCAACCTCAGTCCAGTGAAGTACACAACGCATATTTCATGTACAGTAACAGACAGTTACATGACATACAGCATGGTCAAGCAAATTAATGTTTCCCACGTTTTCGGACCACTAAACAACTATTGATTTAGAATCACAGAGAGTTACTGCAAGTCTCAAAGAAAACAGGAGCTGCCTCCACTATTCCAGCACCATTTCATCCTCAACATCATCAAATCACCTTTGCTTAGTCTAATACAGTGACAACTAAAAAATACCAAAAACGATTTAGTCCAATCAACATAAGCTAAATATGATGTGGCTGCCTATGGTTCTGATTTCTGTGTTTGTGCATGCGCGTTCGTGCAAGTAGAAAAACATGTTGACTCACCCTACTTGCCAATGCCATCCTCCTTTCTTTCATGTTGACAAACCGGTCTATCACGCTGTCATACAGTACACGCTTTAATTTTTTGTTGTTGTCCTAGGCTACCTGTCTAAAATGCTTGCTTGCCTAACTTCCATTCATGGGCAACTTTAGCTAGTTAACATTAGCCTTCTACATTTAGCTACATATTGAACTTCCATCCTCTCAGGCCAGGGGCACAACAATGTATAAATTAATCGTTGGATCAGAATCACCGTTATAATCATTGGCCAGTACGTAGAATTAAGTCCAAATCCCTATCTCCATCCATGGCTAATTTAGGAAAGGGACCATTTTAGCTAGCTAGCTAGCTAGCTAGCCACTGGAGGACAACAACACAACGAGATGCAACAATTCACGTTTTTCTGTCAATGACGTATGCTCTCAATGGGATTTGATAGGAGTGACGCCAAAATCAAAGCTGGCTTCCCTTGACACTTTTTTTGGTGCGCCAGGACCATTCACAGATGAGCTTGCTCAGTTTAGCTCAACGATGATTGGCTATTTAAAAAAATATATATTATCAAGGGAGGCCAACTGCTCGCTGGCTTCCCTTGCCTTCAATGCTATGGGCAGCAACAATGTCATACTCGTTTGGACCAGACAGCATCAGATAGATGGCCTACACATAGAGAGACAGAGGGGCGCTGTTTCGCTCACGGATGCTTTCTCCTGTGAGATACATTCAGCCTCTTGCGAATTGAAGGAAAATAATGAAACAAATTAAAAAAACAAAAGATACATATTTTTTTGTCAATTCTTTTGGGAAGCCTGGCTTTCCTTGACATCCATGAATACACGCCACTGGTTGTTTACGAAGCATGTGACGAATCAAATTGAATTTTATTAGAGTTTAATTCAATGGCTGGATTATTTAGTGATGAGACGCATCTTTAACTCGTGTGTCTAAACATGTCAATGAGATTAAACCATGATTAGCTTAGCCCGCTGTGTTTGGCTCAGGATCAATCCATCCAGGCCACATGCACAAGACTGATGATGAACCATTGTGATTCAGCATCCAGCTATCTGTCAATGATGTGGAGCCTTGACCTTACTCCACAGAGTATGTTAGTGGGGGAAGTTCACTGTCTGTCTGAGATATTGAACCTCCCCATTTCCAAACACAACCACACTCGTCCTCATAGTGAAACCAGACTGAGCGCTATCAGATACGGAAACAGTTGCATCACGTTGTTCCAACAAATAATGTCTATTTTCACCATCTGGTTTCATTTCTGTATAAAGATCTGTTGATGAAAATGTACCAATACTGAAACTGTAAGTGTGCCATAGGGCCTGGGCAACCATTGCAGCCCCCCTTTATAACTAACTGGTGTAATGTAAACCACAGTAGTGCCCCCTGGTGGTGTGGCTGACCAACCTGCAGCTCCCTGTTGTGGTTCTCACACAGCAGCTGCATTAGGCGCAGGATGGGCTGCATGATGGTAATAATGACGCTCATCTCCCCCTCTTGGTCGTCAGGCGTGCTGGCGGGGCCCTGACCCTCGGCGGCGGCCAGGTGCTCCTCGGCCTCGGCCTCACGGCGGTACGTGGTGAACGCCTTCTTAGTGACCGTGGACGCTTCCACCAGCTGCTCCTTGACCTCCTCCGTCACCACACTAACCGGCACTGTAGCCACCACCTTCCCTGGTAAAATAAGAATGTGAGGAATAAGAGACACTCACAACAAAGGGGACACCAGAGAAACATAGGGCAGAGTCTCACTGTACAGTGTGTACACAGGAGCAGAGCTGGAGCTGTCACAGACCTTGAACTTCATCATCGGGCCCCAACTTACACTTCAGTGTCAAACAACTGTATGTATTTGTGAATTACTGATTTATGATATCTTCTGAGTGTAGTAAATTCACCGTATTGACTGTCTCACTTGACAGGACCAGGATGTTGTTCAAACCAGGCCCGTTACCCTGACCCCTGACCTTTCTTTCCTTTAGCGGCGGGCGTGTCCTTGTCTGGGGGCTCCTCGTCCTTCTTCTTGCTGCCCAGGTCGCTGGTGTTGACGGTCACAGTGGCCTTGATCTCCTGCTGGGCCAGCTTCATCCTCTCATAGAACACCTTGAAGAACATCTCTGACTTGTTTTCCCCCGTCAGACGCATGAAGAAGGATTTCTGAACATGGACAAGAAGAACAAGTAAATGTTGCAGAGTTAAGAGGTTTTGTTTCATTTCATTCTGTGTTAATAAGGGAATTGGTAGCTAGAGGGATTCATAGTGACGTATTAATGATAATGTTGTCAGATCATCTACATACAGTGGGGGAAAAAAGTATTTAGTCAGCCACCAATTGTGCAAGTTCTCCCACTTAAAAAGATGAGAGAGGCCTGTAATTTTCATCATAGGTACACGTCAACTATGACAGACAAATTGAGATTTTTTTTCTCCAGAAAATCACATTGTAGGATTTTTAATGAATTTATTTGCAAATTATGGTGGAAAATAAGTATTTGGTCAATAACAAAAGTTTCTCAATACTTTGTTATATACTCTTTGTTTGCAATGACACAGGTCAAACGTTTTCTGTAAGTCTTCACAAGGTTTTCACACACTGTTGCTGGTATTTTGGCCCATTCCTCCATGCAGATCTCCTCTAGAGCAGTGATGTTTTGGGGCTGTCGCTGGGCAACACGGACTTTCAACTCCCTCCAAAGATTTTCTATGGGGTTGAGATCTGGAGACTGGCTAGGCCCCTCCAGGACCTGAAAATGATGAAAATTACAGGCCTCTCTCATTGTCACACCCTGGCTCTGGGGACTCTATATGTTGAGCCAGGGTGTGTAGATTCTATGTGTTTGTGTTCTATGTTTATTATCTAGTTCTTGTATTTCTATGTTGGCCAGAGTGGTTCTCAATCAGAGGCAACGAGTGTCAGCTGTTGCTGGTTGTCTCTGATTGGGAACCACATTTAGACAGGCTGTTTTCCCACAGTAGTTGTGGGATCTTGTTCCGTGTTGGTTGTGTTAGACCTAGGACGTCACGTTATCGTTTGTTGTTTTGTTTATTGTGTGCACTTAATAAAATAAGTATGTATGCATTTCACACTGCGCCTTGGTCCTCCTCCTTCGACGATCGTGACAGAAGATCCCACCAAACCAGGACCAAGCAGCGTGTCCAGGAGCAGGCAGCCTGGACATGGGAGGAGATATTGGACGGGAAAGGGTCCTGGACTTGGGAGGAGATCCAGGCCTGGATGGATCGGCGTCCGTGGGAAGAGACGGTGGAGGCGCGCCGTAGAGAGGAGCAACGGCGTCAACAGTGTCGTCGTTGGACGGACGAGAGGCAACCCCAAAAAATGTTTAGGGGGGGGCACACGGCATGGGCGACGGGGCAGCAGGAGGCAGTTACAGGGCGTATTGGGAGGTTAGGTGAGGAGGCCACCAGGTTAAGGGGGCTATTGGTCCAGAGGGAGCAGGAGTTAGTGGTTCAGAGGGAGGAGCTACTGGAGGCGATAAGGGAGAAGGAGAGAGTAGAGGCACGGCGAGAGGAACTGTGTAGGCAGCTGAGGGAGCGGAGGGTTATGAAGAAACCCAGTCCCGCTCCTCACACCAAGCAAGTGGCGCCAGCCCGGCCCGGCCTGTTCCTGCCACTCGCACCAAGCCTACGGTGCGCGTCGCCAGCCCGGCCTATTCCTGCCCCTCGCACCAAGCCTACGGTGCGCGTCGCCAGCCCGGCCCGGCCTGTTCCGGCTCCCCGCACCAAGCCTACGGTGCGCGTCGCCAGCCCGGCCCGGCCTGTTCCTGCTCCCCGCACCAAGCCAATGGTGCGCGTTGCCAGCCCGGCCTGTTCCTGCTCCCCGCACCAAACCAATGGTGCGCGTCGCCTGCCCGGCCTGTTCCTGCCCCTCGCACCAAGCCTACGGTGCGCGTCGCCAGCCCGGCCCGGCCTGTTCCTGCTCCCCGCACCAAGCTAATAGTGCGCGTCACCAGCCCGGCCCGGCCTATTCCTGCCCCTCGCACCAAGCCTACGGTGCGCGTCGCCAGCCCGGCCCGGCCTGTTCCTGCCACTCGCACCAAGCCTACGGTGCGCGTCGCCAGCCCGGCCCGGCCTATTCCTGCTCCCCGCACCAAGCTAATAGTGCGCGTCGCCAGCCCGGCCCGGCCTATTCCTGCCCCTCGCACCAAGCCTACGGTGCGCGTCGCCAGCCCGGCCCGGCCTGTTCCTGCCCCTCGCACCAAGCCTACGGTGCGCGTCGCCAGCCCGGCCCGGCCTGTTCCTGCTCCCCGCACCAAGCTAATAGTGCGCGTCGCCAGCCCGGCCCGGCCTATTCCTGCCCCTCGCACCAAGCCTACGGTGCGCGTCGCCAGCCCGGCCCGGCCTGTTCCTGCCACTCGCACCAAGCCTACGGTGCGCGTCGCCAGCCCGGCCCGGCCTGTTCCTGCTCCCCGCACCAAGCCTACGGTGCGCGTCGCCAGCCCGGCCCGGCCTGTTCCTGCTCCCCGCACCAAGCCAATGGTGCGCGTTGCCAGCCCGGCCTGTTCCTGCTCCCCGCACCAAACCAATGGTGCGCGTCGCCTGCCCGGCCTGTTCCTGCCCCTCGCACCAAGCCTACGGTGCGCGTCGCCAGCCCGGCCCGGCCTGTTCCTGCTCCCCGCACCAAGCTAATAGTGCGCGTCACCAGCCCGGCCCGGCCTATTCCTGCCCCTCGCACCAAGCCTACGGTGCGCGTCGCCAGCCCGGCCCGGCCTGTTCCTGCCACTCGCACCAAGCCTACGGTGCGCGTCGCCAGCCCGGCCCGGCCTGTTCCTGCCACTCGCACCAAGCCTACGGTGCGCGTCGCCAGCCCGGCCCGGCCTATTCCTGCTCCTCGCACCAAGCCTACGGTGCGCGTCGCCAGCCCGGCCCGGCCTGTTCCTGCCACTCGCACCAAGCCTACGGTGCGCGTCGCCAGCCCGGCCCGGCCTATTCCTGCTCCCCGCACCAAGCTAATAGTGCGCGTCGCCAGCCCGGCCCGGCCTATTCCTGCCCCTCGCACCAAGCCTACGGTGCGCGTCGCCAGCCCGGCCCGGCCTGTTCCTGCCCCTCGCACCAAGCCTACGGTGCGCGTCGCCAGCCCGGCCCGGCCTGTTCCTGCTCCCCGCACCAAGCTAATAGTGCGCGTCGCCAGCCCGGCCCGGCCTATTCCTGCCCCTCGCACCAAGCCTACGGTGCGCGTCGCCAGCCCGGCCCGGCCTGTTCCTGCCACTCGCACCAAGCCTACGGTGCGCGTCGCCAGCCCGGCCCGGCCTGTTCCTGCCACTCGCACCAAGCCTACGGTGCGCGTCGCCAGCCCGGCCCGGCCTATTCCTGCTCCTCGCACCAAGCCTACGGTGCGCGTCGCCAGCCCGGCCCGGCCTGTTCCTGCCACTCGCACCAAGCCTACGGTGCGCGTCGCCAGCCCGGCCCAGCCTATTCCTGCCCCTCGCACCAAGCCAGGGGTGCGCATCGTCAGCCCGGTACGGCCCATTCCTGCTCCACGCACCAGGCCAAGGGTGCGCATCGTCAGCCCGGTACGGCCCATTCCTGCTCCACGCACCAAGACTACGGTGCGCGTCGCCAGCCCGGCCCGGCCTGTTCCTGCCACTCGCACCAAGCCTACGGTGCGCGTCGCCAGCCCGGCCCGGCCTGTTCCTGCCACTCGCACCAAGCCTACGGTGCTCGTCGCCAGCCCGGCCCGGCCTATTCCTGCTCCTCGCACCAAGCCTACGGTGCGCGTCGCCAGCCCGGCCCGGCCTGTTCCTGCCACTCGCACCAAGCCTACGGTGCGCGTCGCCAGCCCGGCCCGGCCTATTCCTGCCCCTCGCACCAAGACAGGGGTGCGCATCGTCAGCCCGGTACGGCCCATTCCTGCTCCACGCACCAGGCCAAGGGTGCGCATCGTCAGCCCGGTACGGCCCGTTCCTGCTCCACGCACCAAGCCAGGGATGCGCATCGTCATCCCGGTACGGCCCGTTCCTGCTCCCCGCACCAAGCCAGGGGTGCGCATCGTCAGCCCGGTCCGGCCCGTTGCTGCTCCACGCACCAAGCCAGGAGTGCGCATCGTCAGCCCGGTCCGGCCCGTTCCTGCTCCACGCACCAAGCCAGGGGTGCGCGTCGTCAGTCCGGCACAACCCGTGCCTGGTCAGGTACCGGTCAGCTGCTCCACACCGGAGCCTAAGCAATCCGCTCCTACGATGTCCAGTCCAGCTCCAGCCAGCGGGGCCAGACCGGACCAGGGGCGCTACGGGGGGATTGTTGGAGGGTGGTGGTCAAGCCCGGAGCCGGAACCGCCTCCGAGGAGGAATGCCCACCCAGCCCTCCCCTGTTTGATTTATGTTTAGGCGCGGTCGCAGTCCGCGCCTTTGGGGGGGGGGTACTGTCACACCCTGGCTCTGGGGACTCTATATGTTGAGCCAGGGTGTGTAGATTCTATGTGTTTGTGTTCTATGTTTATTATCTAGTTCTTGTATTTCTATGTTGGCCAGAGTGGTTCTCAATCAGAGGCAACGAGTGTCAGCTGTTGCTGGTTGTCTCTGATTGGGAACCACATTTAGACAGGCTGTTTTCCCACAGTAGTTGTGGGATCTTGTTCCGTGTTGGTTGTGTTAGACCTAGGACGTCACGTTATCGTTTGTTGTTTTGTTTATTGTGTGCACTTAATAAAATAAGTATGTATGCATTTCACGCTGCGCCTTGGTCCTCCTCCTTCGACGATCGTGACACTCATCTTTTTAAGTGGGAGAACTTGCACAATTGGTGGCTGACTAAATATTTTTTTCCCCCACTGTGTGTATGTTTCCCATTTAACAAATACAAGGTAAACAGCTTAAAGGTCTAGTATGTTTGTTGTTCCGTTTGTTGGCAGTTTGACCACATCTCCGTACGTCCCTCCCTCCCTCCCTCCCTCCTTCCTATGCAGCCAGAGGCTCTCTCTCTGCAGCTCTGTTACATAACCCTCAGCTCTCAGCCCCCTGCCAAGGAAATAACCTGGAGTGTGTCCCTGTGCTCACCTGAATTCACACCATCTGCTCTCTGCCCCAGGGGCACAACTCTACTGTTACCGCGCAGGGCAGGCTGCACTGTACACACATTCACACAGAAAACATAGCCAGGTACACAGCAATCACAGCCAGGTACACAGCAATCACAGCCAGGTA